TCTGTAGTTATGGCCACAATGATTAACATAAAGAAACCACTGCTCATAAAAGAGCATTGTCTGGCTCATCAATGGGCACCGTAGGCTGAATCTTCACATGGCGCTCCTCGGCTGAGAATCAAGGAAACGCCACTCTTCACATTCGGTTGCTTCTTTTGTCGGGATTTCACAGGTCTCCATGCTAGATGGGAGTCAGTGAGATGTCGCCACCATGCAGATTTGAGCCTTCTCAATTCATACACGATCATCGACTGGATCAGGAAGTCAGTCTAGGACGCTGTTCGGCTTCGTGGGGCATCTCGCTAGTGCGCTGGTGTGTTTAGCTTCGTTACCTTGGTTGTAAACTCTGGTGAGGCTGTGGACTGGTGCAAGTGTCATCTTGCCCTTCTGACAAAATTTAAAGTTTTGCTTTTTTGTATTAGCTTTACAAGGGTTTCACAGAACTTGGACCCAACCCAAGATGCTCGCCCAACGAAACTTAAGGGCAAATTCTGGCTTACCCGTGCTTTCCGATTTTTTTTTCTCTTTTAGATAGCATTATTATTGGATGTCGCGAAGAAACGACTAGTGGGTCAGAGGCGTCAGGATACAGCTTATGCTGGGATAAAACGAGCAGGTCCAGGTAACTCGTCCGAAAATTTCCCTACTCAGAGTGTTCTTCTTTTGATGTTTTAATTGAGTTTTTTTCTTCTCTTGAGAGACCTTTAGCGACTGAGGGTTTGTTACCGTACGCCACTATCCACAGCACACAATCGTAGGGAGTGCCTTCAACAAGGTGGCCTATACTAGCTCCGCTGAATGCCGTTCAGTAGCTTTCACAGGGGTTGACAGGTGTTCGCGTCCATGAGATTAGTAAGCCCTTGGGCCTCGAACAGCGTCCATTCTAATGCTACTAAAACCACAGGCTAGTCTATAGCGGGCTGATCAGAACCAGTTCCCGTCCCTATTCGTCACAGCTATAGCTTGCGTTCTCGAAGCATTTCGCATCTGGAAGGAACATTATTCGATGGAGTAAAGTGACCCGCTTCTGTATTCCTACGAAAACATTCGGGAGAAGTGCAAATTCGTTAGATTCCGAGGATCTTACTTATTCAAAGAAATTATATGCTGACGAAGTTGTACCCTACGAAATGTGGCACGCATCAGCAAATGAAGTTTTCCTTGTAGAAATAGTGAAATGAGTTCTACGGCAAATTCTCCAAAATAATGGACTAGCGGCAAACGAGTTGTGCTTCAGACTCTTCTGAAATCCAATTTTCAAGTGTACACGCTCCTTTGCTATAAGTACTGCAAAGACAGTCGTTGAAAGTTGAAAGCTTGCTTCCAAAAATTACTTCCCTCAATCTCGACTCCAGGAGGTTGAGTAACCGGCCGTTATTCTGTGCTGGTGACCAACCTATACATTGCCTCTTCGAATCTGCAGTTTACAAGTGCTGGACACTGCGCCCTGGCAAGCGACATCCTTCATGAAGACAATGCAGGTTTTAGCTCCCCTGACTACCGCGGAGTGGCCTACAGGAACTTGTAGTATGATATATGTAGGTCGCAAAGTACCTTGGCCTTTGGAAGACTTTTATGGATTGGAAGCACTCACAGAGCCACAATGTACCCGTCTGCAAAAATCAGAGAATGCTCGCCATTAATCGGGGTGAAAACATTCAAAATGTTTTTTGACTTTTCTAGAACAGTTTAATCGAGGTGACGCAGAACTTTCTTTCTAACCTAGTATATATAGCTCACTATGAAAAGGTTATGATAAGACTTCTTTATTACGCATAAGAAAGTGCAACGTACACAAAATGGATCAACTCTATATAGAGACACGTTAGATTAACTTTTTGAAATTTTTCACCAAAAGGAGACGACGGTAAGGCATAGGCGAAAGTCCTCTTCAGAGAAGGCAATAAAACGCAAGAAAACCCCGTGTTCATCAATGAAAAGGTAGATTCATGAAACAAATATATACAGCCGAAGTCGCTTCACTAAGTTGTCACTAGTAAGTCTTGTAAACGTCAGCCATTTCAGATCTTGACCACCTTCCATTTCTTCGCACGTTGAAGTGCGAGCTACTCCATGAAAATCTACTGGTTGGATGATCGATGTGCCATTTCGGACCGTATTCCGCCTGAACCAGGGAGCTAATCAACATTCACGTGGGTATTAGAAAACTATTCAACAGCAATCGTTATTCTGGTAACGAAGCAAATTCTGAAAGTATCAGTGCTAGTATACTGACTAGTACCAACGTAGAAATATATGAAAAAAATAAAATAAGGGCTGCGAAATGTTATCGAACACCTGTGAATTCAACTCCTATTGGTTTTTAAAAGAAGATCGGTCACTATGGTAGGACTGTGTAGAAATCCAACTCCGCAGACTGCACCCAGTAGTGTGATCCACGACCCGTTCTGAACCATCTCGCAAAAACAGTTTGTTGAAGCCGATAGCGCGTGACTCTATGCATACAGGGGGGGGGGCAAAGAAAAAAAACACTTTTCTTCCTCGACTTTCAAGGCGATATAAGTTACACTTTATTAAATTCTGATTGGACATTTCCACCACCATATTCAACAGCACATTGTACACTATCATGATACTCCGCCACAGCCTTCTGGACGAGCGCCATCGAGAGATTCTGCCACGTGTTCGGTGCCTGAGTTCAGCGAGATCGTTGATTTCTCCGCCACTGTAGACCATCCTGTTGAGCTCCGCTCGGACCCGGTACACAAGGGACTTTAGGTCAGATGACATACTTCCGTCTTCTTCAGGTACTCAACGCCCTTCCATTCCAAGTAGGCGAGAGTTTTTCCAACGCCCTTCGATTCCATGTGGTGGCACCCAATCCTGTAGCAGTACAAAGTTTCTAAGATGGTACGGGCGACGTAACCGTCAGCGCTTACCTTCATTCCGGGGTCCACGAAGAAAATATCGGTCTTCCCATTCCAGGTACTTCCGGTCCATACCATCAACTCGCGCCTTGGCGACTGCGGTGAAGATGATATCCTGGACCGTAGCGACGTTGTCGAAGCTGCTCGATGTTGGAGGTCTTCCAGATCAAGAGTGCCGGTCTCCAGGTAGCTGTCCATGAGTGGCTCCATACAAGCAGTTTCGTAGTTGTTTGGAGGTGACGTGAATTCAATAGGCTTTCTCACTCCTGTGTCTTGCTGATTGGAGATGACTTCATAATTTCTTCGGTGACATGAAGGTCATGGGCGAGAGCCAGTTCCTGCTTATCGTGGAACATCTTGGGCCGCCCTGATACTCGTATTCGAGGCTGCGAAAGCTTTACTGATTTATGTTACTCGGCCGAAGTGTCTTTTTTGCCCTCCTATAGCCCGTTTCCGCCTGCCCTATTCTCAAGACGCAGCACTTGCGTCGATACCAGAATCCCGCGGCGAATATGGAGTCTGAAGTAAAGAATAATCAGAAGAGAGAGTGCAGATAATTAGCGCGTTCAGCTATAGTTAATTGTGGCTGGCCGTGCGCAAGTAGAATATGGAGGTGACAACCGGGTATCACTGCTATTCAACTCCCTTTCCGTATACTTTGAGCGGAGGAAAAAGTGACGCTATCGCGGCTGCCGTCCCAACCACGCACATGACAACGGAGTAGATCCACTCATCCATTCAGGGCCCAGCTTGTCTTTAGAATAATTGAGAAGGAGTCGAGTTGAGCTAGGCTTTCAGCGATATTCCAAAAGCGGACCTGTGTTGAGATATTTGAGCCAGATGTATCGATAGTCAACAGGACTAATCTTGCAACGGTCAGGCAAACAGTGAGTTTTAATGTCAATGACCTCGACAGAATGGAAGACGAAGCTCAGGAAAGGTAAGCAATTTTCATAGCAAACTATCAAATGTTGTAAATAACCCTTGATGAAAAGTCGAAACCAGTAGACTGTATTTATGTCCAAACACCTCACCTCAAGAACTTTCCTTGGGTCGCATGGGATCCAGAAAATGTGTCCGAAGAGATCACCTGCACAGGATCCATTATACCTATAATGAGTGAACCGGTTTAAAAAATTGAAGAGAGTCAGTGAACAAGTAG